AATATCTTCGAATGAAATCTATAAGAAATCTTAAAAAATCTGTCGCTTGAGATATTTAGCAAAGATTACAAAGAAATATTTAGAAATTATTCTATGCTACTAAGGACGTTCACGCGCGCTGTGACGGACCGGAATTTTCATGGCAATGAGACGTATTATTTGCAAACAAGCTGCCGTTAATTTTGAGGTAATTAGGTATATTTATTGACGCGAGCCGTGCTTTGTGGTTTGGAATTGCACTGCGGATCTTGCTTGGCTAGCTTTTATGGTATTCCCGCAGTCGCTTCCGTGTTGACTCATACTACTTGTGGAGTGCGCGTGCCAGACCAGAAAGAACTTCGGAAATGCGATTGATAGAACCTCATCGTCCACCAACTATTTTTGCGTTTGTGTGGAGTGACGGAAGCTTACGTACAAATCTTCGCAAACTCGTGGAATGTTAGAATGAAATTCACCAGAACACCGGAAATATTGAATCCGCTTAGGGTCCAACGATACAGCAGGTAAAGTGTTTATTTGTTGTTTAGCCAATTTTTAAACATATGTTGAAAGATTAGTGAAAATATGTATACGAAAAGTTGTAGTTAATTCAGTACGAGGAAATATATTACAAATATACTAAAAAGTTATAGTTAGTTTAGTATAGAAAAAAAAAAGATGTATGAAAGTCACCCAATTGTTGGAAGCTGCAGATGAGAATACCGCCTTAAGGTGAAGTGAAACCCCCTTCAAATCAGTCGAATTCGGATACAACACTTCTTTTTAAGGGTATTGGATCAAACTGTCCGAAACTTTGACAAATGACTCGTGATCATCTAAGAATTGTCCTGACACATTCAAAATTTAGATTTTTTAACAAAATTTTTTAACAGCCCAGACCTGAACCAAAATGGCGTCGAGCTCTCATATTTCGATCAATATACAATTATCGAAGGCTCTGATATGAGAAACGAAAGGGTCGGGACAATTTTACGACAATTTAGAACACTCTGATAACCGATAAACTCGCATTTGAACGGGATAAGGGCAAAAAAAGTGTTGTATACGCTTCAATGCTAAAACGATGGTAATACGAGGTCTCGGAGTGAAAATTTAATTGACCTGAAAATCACAGATGGTGGCGGGGATCCTCTGGTGTCAATTAGGGCCCCAGAAAGCATGAATTCAGAGGATTTCTGGAGTTTTACTTCGATTTCTTGATATTTATTGTGCGGAAACGACAGGTGGAGTATGCCATTTGGTACAATATCCAATATATTTCTACACAGCTGTCGATATAAAAACGAACGTCGGCAACGTAGGTATTTAGAGAAATCTTCTTTATCGACGTCGATCAAGTTCCTCGACGTGTTTCACTTCACCTTAAATTCACCATTTGATGTTCAATTGAGACCGTCAGTATACAGGGTGTCTCGAAACTCGCAATAATCCCAAGAATTGGGGAAAATTGACGAAATTTGCAATTGAAACTTATTCTATAACTTCTCCATCAAGCGATTATTTACCGAGTTGTTAACGATTAAAGTTGATCTAGATCTGATCTAGTTGATAAAGATCCAAGATCCAAACGGGCCAAAGCCAACGTCCGTTTTGGTGTACAGGTTTCCCGTATTATTTGGACACTTATTTTTATTTATTTTTTCATTTTTCTTTCACTCCCATTTCACCATAAAATCCGTTACACGTAATGACTTTAGATGATTTTATCCCATATTTTGTGTTATAACCATTTAAATGACAAAAATGTGAAATTAATTTCGTAATGAAAAAATTAACGTCACAAGCGGCTCTTTTCTCAATAATAAACTATTTTCTATTAAAGAAAAAAGATTCTCACAAATTGTTGCATTTCACATTCTTTTAGGGTGTGCAGATGTCTAAATTTATCTTGCCATGGAATACACTAATAAATCGAGTCACTTAAGTAATCAGCAAGTAAATAATTTTGTATAGTTTTTCCCCAGCAATAGCAATTCGTAACATGAGAAACATGAGATGAAGGAAGTTAAAGACGCCAAAGACCAAAGACAAAACATCCATCAAAACCAGCTGTACTCATTCTCGAAATTAATTGATTTCGAGTTTTCATCTCGCGTAAGTAATTCCATGCAGTAAAAATAATTATAATTAACTGCAAAATGTTTAACCAGCGGTGTATATGCATTATCCAGTATTGCGGTCCGATAAAAATATTGTAAACCTACGAGTTGGGCAAAAGTTGAATATTTTATTCAAAATTCATCATTTGAACAATAATCAATAGATACCGTGTTTTACGAAGAGTTGCATCTTGATAATGATTTACCAGTCTGGATGTTTTCGGGGAAGACCCCTAGTAGCACAAAATATTTGTCCTATATTTTCTGTATATTTAACGAATATCGTACATTTTGTAAATATTTACCAGACATTTGAAATTTTTGCCAAACGTTTACTTTAGAATATTATCTCTATAATATTTATATAATATTACCTCCATATGTTTTCATAATATTTTTCTATCAGATNATTTGCGCATCTTTTTATTTATTTATTTATTTATTTATTCTTGTTTGTTTAATATAGAGACCTTTTAGAATTCTTCGTTTCTCTTCATTGATTTGTGTCCTCTTTCTAAAATCCATCTCTCTGGAGAATATCCAACCGTAAATGTGGTAACATTTTTGGAAAATTGTACTTGATGCGTTCGTGAATTAATATACAAATCAATGATACATTTTCGACGATTGTTTCCGTCATTAATTGTAAATCCGTGTATTTTATTTACGATTAATTTTTAAAATTGGTATTTAAGGTACAATTATTGGATTAACGTCTTGTGTGCAGTGATTTGTGATATGAAGATTGATTTTAATCTGACAGAACTGCAGTAAGATAAATTCGATGTTTAGATATCAAATTATAATTTATTGACATCCAGTGCAGTTGTCCTCCAAGTAACGATCGTGAACTTTGTGCTCCTATTTCTTCAATGACAAATCTACTTTTCGTTTTTCTTTATACATCGGTACAATTTATTGTTTCACATATACTACAGTTTCCCAATATGCCATTGGTACGATTATTTGATATCCATTGAAAGTGCGTATAGAGATAGATGTTTGGCATTCACCCGTTGCGTTCATAGAGATATTAAATTAGTTTCCAAACATCTGTTGTACGTTATTTTAATCAATTCTTCTATATTCGCGTATCCTCTCTCAAGAGTTCTTTATTACGTTTTCATTATTTACAAAACGCCGGAAATCGAGCTATTAGTTTTAAAAAACTGTTGTACCACTTCGGATCTATTCCAATGTAATGCTATCAATAAGATTTTGTGTTTAATTGAAAAAGACTTCGAAGAAATACCAAAAATATTATCAACGTCTACAATCCATTCTCAAGAATAGAAGTTTGAATTTATTTTGTAACTCTGAGCGATTAGAAATAATCAATGTATTAATGTAACAAAATAAGTCAAGAGGTCTCAATCAGATCTAATTTCTAAACTATTTAAAAACCGTCGAAACCATTCAAAATTCAAACCACGCGATAATTCTGTTTTAACGATTATTACACAGTGTCAAAGTTAAAAACCGTCAAAACAATTTAAAATTCAAACTAAGGGATAATTCTGATTTAGCGACTACTATACAGTGGCTTGCCATCCTCGCGGTAACGATATACCGTGTTTGGTATTTTCCAGTCAACTATAATAACATTAGTTTTAGATAAATTTCGATAGGAAAAAGAGAAAATAGGATTTTACGTTGATTACGGTAACTAGTTACTCTGAAAATATCCTAAGTGGCGAATCGATACCCTGTTTGAAACTGCTGATTTATGACGTTCTCATGCATTTATAGTGATTGAATTTACAGGGGGGTGTTGCATGTTTATCACAATAGAAGTCATAATAATCTGGGCACCGTAAACTGTGGAAAATTTACTATACACCGGCTATCGAAAGCTTGATACATATCAAAATTAGTTTTGACACCAATTGTCGTCATCATTTTGTTTTACTCGGCTATTTCTTTTAGTTCACAACCAATACGGAATTTTCCAAAATTAAAAGATGCTAGTGCTAAAAATTCCTTGCGGCTGCTCCAGGCGCTTCAGAAAGCTGGCGATTCCCTGGAGTGCTTTTCGAGCTCTTGTCTTCTTCGTGACGTTAGAACTGGATTGCGGACATCGAAGTAAATTGGACACCTCGGTAAAGCACTGATTGGAATCAGAAGTTAACTTCGATCCAGAGACCGAAGTGCGGAAGTTTTCGAAGGTAAATTGTAGTAATTTTTCAACGGCACAGTCAAGAATCTCGTCGTTTGAAGGAGCTTTGGAACTCTCAAAGCATTTACGTGCAACATGATTGAGCCAAGTCCAATCCTCCCATTCGTCCTTATAATTGACTCTCCTGTCCTCCAGGTTTTGCGAAATTTGTGCACGTATCCTGAAAAACGGGCGTTTCATTTAATTTTTGACTAAGTATTTAAATTACCTTGCAGATATCTATTTTCAATGAATTCCATGTGTTTTCATTACGTCAATGGAAGTCTTCTGAATATATTTGTGAACACATTTTCTTCGGCATTGAATGGGAGTTTACTTAAATTTACGTCACTGACGCTTTAAATTGTTAGAACTGAATTCGTGACGTTTATACAAAAATTTAAATTCGAGCATCTTCTGTACATTTCATGATGGATCATGATATTATTCTCAACTCGGCACGTAAATAATATTTCTTCTTAAGGTGAAGTGAAACCCCCTTCAAATCAGTCGATTCGAATACAACACTTTTTTTTAAGGGTATTAGACCAAACTATCCGAAACTTTGACACATGACTCGTGATCATCTAAGAATTGTCCTGACACATTAAAAATTTTGATTTTTGGAAAAAATTGTTTAACTTAGCCCAGACCAGAACCAAAATGGCGTCGAGCTCTGATATTTCGATCAATATACAATTATCGAAGGCTCTCATATGAGAAACTAAAGGGTCAGGACAATTTTACGACAATTTAGAATTCTCTGGTAATCGATAAACTGGAATTTCAACGGGATAAAGGCAAAGAAAGTGTTGTATGCGCTTCTATGCTAAAACGATGGGAATACGAGGTCTCGGAGTGAAAATTTAATTGACCTGGAAATCACAGATGGCGCAGGGTGTCCCTCTGCAGTCAATTAGGGCCCCAGAAAGCACGAACCCAGAGGATTTCTGGAGTTTTACTTCGATTTCTTGATATTTATTGTACGAAAACGACAGATGGAGTATGCCATTTAGTACAATATCCAATATAATTCTATACAGCTCTCAATATAAAAACGAATGTCGGCAACGTAGGCAATTAGAAAAATCTTCTTTATCGACGTCGATCAAGTTCCTCGACGTGTTTCACTTCACCTTAATACGTTGAGGATTAGGAGATTTCTAATTCGGTTGTTCAGGGCTGCCTTATAAAGGACTTTGTATACGGTTCCTATCTTACTAGCGGTGCCTATCATTATTATTTCGAATATTTTTCAAATAGAAAAATAGAAACTTAAGGTATGTACTTGTTTACTTACCACCATTTAAGAGGATTCTTTCCAAACTTGACACCTTGCAGCTTCGGAAGGCTTGAGAAGAGGTTTGGATCTAAGTACTGCAATTGATTGTAATCCAAGTACACGTACTCCAAATTAGGTAACAAATTGAACGTGCCCAACTCTATCCCTTGAATGTCGTTGAAGGAGAGATCAAGCAGCCGCAAGTTGTGCAAACTGCGGAACCAGTCTGCTTGAATCCAGGTTAACTTGTTGCCCTGAAGGACCAGATTCTGTAGTCTGTGCAATCCGGAAAAACCTAGAGTGTCGATCGACTGTATTCGTGATTCGTGGAGGTCCAGAATCACCAAAGTGCCTCCGAATCTTGCGAATGTGTTGCTGAAAATTATTACTCGTCATTATCTTCATAGAGGCTCATAAATGTTGTATTCCCAGTTAATGGGTTTTAAGTGGCGTACAATATTAGAAATTGTCGTACAAAAGAGCTCATGAAATCTCGGCGGCCCAAACATCAGATTTTGTAAATCAATTTAGACAATGTCCCTTGGTGTTTACTGCACTGAGAAAACAAAAGTTGGCTGACTCAAGGAAATACGTATTGTTACAACAAAATCCTGCGATCAAATACGTCAAAAGAAATGTCAGTAAAAGTAAATAAAATTCGTTTAAATCAACCATATAATTTTTCTTCTCAACAAAGTAATTGTTTCTTGCAATTATATATGATTCGGACAACAATGTATATTTGTTTTAGTCAAATAATCTTTTTTCTCAGGGTGTTATATTAATTTATTTATAGAAAAACGAGATGCAGACTGATAGGTGTGATGTGGTTATATGGAAGTGGTGATAGTTCCAGAAGAGGGACGTCTTAAGATATTTAAACTATGTCTTATAATCATGCGTAGAAATGTACAGGGACCTAGTTGAATTATGGTTATGTAGTTTGCCATGTTATTACTGTATTACTATGTTATTTGAATAACTGTTAACGTCTTCATTTCCGGAGTCTAATTAAATTTTTTTTTTTCGACTCGCAGCTACTGCAGTATTGCATATTCAGCGTCAAGTAATTTGTTATTAAGGAATTCTTGCTTACCTAGTAATATTCGGAATATCAGATTCGACGATTGTAATCTTTGTGCTATTATTCCAGGCATAATCCACATCACTCAATGTCTTTGAATTCATACAGAAGAAGTGCACGTTATTTCCCTTCGTGTCTATAAACATGCGAGCGGAAGACTCTTTTCGTTTCTGCACTTCTTTGGTTGCCACATTTCCCAACAGGTAAGAAAGCGAAACGTATAAAGAAAGTATCTTCATGCTTCTTTTTTGTTCTTTTTTTTTTTCAAGCACCGAACAGCCTTTATGAGGCGTGTTTTCATATACTGAGCATTGTGAACGACGTGAATCTCCAACACGGCACTTCCGCTGGCCGTGTCCTCGGTCTGATATCTTCTTTCCTCTCACGAGTGATAAGGAATTTCATTTATATTTATTGCGTGCTGTCGACGAAACTGCTGACGGTGCAAAATTTAAAACAATTAATATTGTATACTATCACTTGAAGTTGGTAGTACATTATTCCCCTGATTTGCTTGAAGAAAAAATGCCTTGATAACAAATTGAAATTAAATAACATTAAGGAAAAGGTTTACACAAAAGTTCTGTTAAGACTAAAATACAACGATGAATTCGAATAGTAATTTACTTGAAGGAAAGAAGAAAAAGAACAGATAAAAAAGCGTTTCACTTTTTGAAACGGGTTCCTTTCTTAGAACACGAACTTACATACAGGACCTAAGACAAGAAGTACATAAGAGGTTTCATTAGAAAAATCAAACATCATCAAATTTGCTACAAACTTACTATTCATGTTACAAAAGTCCACACAATTTATTTTCTCCGTTATCAAAATTGCTTTAAGGTGAAGTGAAACACCCTTCAAATCAGTCGATTCGAATATAACACTTTTTTTTTAAGGGTATTAGACCAAACTGTCCGAAACTTTGACACGTCACTCCTGATCATCTAAGAATTGTCCTGACACTTTCAAAATTTGGATTTTTTAACAAAATTTTTTAACTCAGCCCAGACCAGAACCAAAATAGCGTCGAGTTCTTATATTTCGATCAATATACAATTATCGAAGGCTCTGATATGAGAATCGAAAGGGTCAGGACAATTTTACGAGCATTTAAAACACTCTGGTAATCGATAAATTCGCATTTGAACGGGATAAGGGCAAAAAAAGTGTTGTATACGCTTCTATACTAAAACGATGGTAATACGAGGTCTCGGAGTGAAAATTTAATTGACTTGAAAATCACAGATGGCGCAGGGGGCCCTCTGCTGTCAATTAGGGCCCCAGAAAGCATGAATCCAGAGGATTTCTGGAGTTTTAGTTCGATTTCTTTATAATTATTGTACGAAAACAACAGGTGGAGTATGCCATTTGGTACAATACTCAATATAATTCGACACAGCTGTCAATAGAAAAACAAACGTCGGCAACGTAGGCATTTAGAAAAATCTTCTTTATCGACGTCTATCGTGTTCCTCGACGTGTTTCACTTCACCTTAAACAGATTAACCCTTTGTGGACGCGACTTTTCCTTTACAACGGCTTTTGGGCGGCTATTTGTCGACACTCGTCCGCAAAGGGTTTAAAAAAATGTTATTTTTCAACGTCGAATATACAAAGAGTTTTTAACTAAAAAAACTATGCAATGCTTCCTTTTAAAGCACATGGAATACTCGGAGATAAAGGATCTGACAGCAATCAATTACTTAAATGGAGTAAAAATTGTTGCAGTCTAAATAACACTTGTCTCTGGCACAACTAGCCTCGATCTTCCCTACTATTGCCTAGTATATTTTTTTTTATTTCATTTGAATTCATATAACGAACTGATATCTACGCGACAATGTATCCAATATAATTGCAGTGTAACTAATAATTCACTCGAAAAGGATCATTAGTTAATTCATAGGTCCTGCAGTGCATGTAGACACGTTTAATTGTCGTTTTAACAAATGTCCTCTATCTGATACCAGGCCACAGTGGGCAATTTGGACCATTATGCTGTTCATTCATTTTATCCAGTTTTCTCCCTTTGCTCTTTTCATTCGTTGAACATCCATTTCCCTATCTCGTCCGTATTTTTGGAAGGCCGTATCCGCTCTTTTCCTCTAATCCCTTATGTTTCCACTCCTCGCTTTATGTCCTGGTTGTTTGATAAAACGTAAACATTTATATATTTTTAAACCTCATATATAGGATACGAATAGTTTTTTGAACAATTATATCTTTATATTTTGAGTGACTGACAGTAAATCGAAACGATGGCAAATGACGCATATAAAATGGAGTAGGACGTCTATAGAGCAATTGTCTGTCAGTGTATTAATATTGTTGAAGCGTTAAATACCATTAATTAACTCGATCAATAAACTATTATTTTATTGGCTAAGATTGTCCCTGTTAGTGTATCCGATTGTGATATGACGTGGGCGTATACATGGTACATACTTTTATTGTATGGTCTTTCGTCAACTGAAGCTGAACTACAGATATTATGAGCTGCGATTTATCCTTACATAACTGGGCACATTACACACTATGAAATGATACGAATAAAAAGACAATTGTTCCTGTAATTATAAAAACGGTCTAACAAGGAAGGTATCCCAAGTCGATCTCTCCGATTTGATTTCTTTTAAAATATGTTATAGTAGACTAAAAACTAAGCGACACGTATTTTTTATATCTGCCATTAAACACTTTAAGGGGGTGAAACCACCATCCAGAGTAAGGCCTGTGAGGGGTGGCTCACCCCTTAATTTTTTTTNTATATATGTTTATTTATGTAGGCAGACTAAGACTTACTTCAGTTGCTTCTTATTTGGAGGTGTGGAATAAATATGACACGAAAATCCGAAACCAAACTCAAAACGAAACCAAAAAATTCCTTTAATTTCCTTTTGAAGAGGTGCTGTATAGAAATAATGAAGAATAAAATGGTATGAACTTCTCACGATAATGATAGAAGTTAAATCCTTTCCAATATAACTTTGAAGTGTACAGTTCCCAAAATAGCATCCGTATATATATGAAAGGAACGGTATAAGTTTTTAGACTTCTTCGTTTAATTTTCACCTGTAACAATATCTAAACTGCCGCAAAAGTTATCCGTTCCCACGGATTCATGAATCTTAATGGCCCTTGCATTTTCAAATTTCTTCAAGGCGTATATAATGCCATCTTGAGAAAAAGCAATTGCGTTCCCGTGAAAACTCCATACTGCATAAAGCAGAAAGGGCGCTTCTGCTGGTGAATTTTTATCCTCCGAAGTTACTGCAAATTCCATCCTGAAGTGCATTAAAATTTAAAGAAAGAAATAAGAAAGAAATATAGGAGCAGAAGAAACGTGTTATATCCCGTAACACAAATTTCGGATACAAAGATGGGTGAGTTTACTAACTTGCTTTTTATGTTTAGGACTACATATTTGCACTGTCGGTACCATGATCCTTTCCGGATACAGGAATGTGCAACCATTAAATACTTACAGTCCCATGAAATTGAAAATTCTTCTGCATTGTACTTAATCTGTTCATCGATACATAAAATTTCTGTTTATAAACAGTTTCTAATATTTAATTAGAATAAATGTACGAAACGAGTCTGTGCGATAGATTAAGCGTAATATCATTACGTAAAAATCATCCGATAGCAGGTTAACGTTCCCTGTCTCTACATCCAGTATCGCTATTATTTTGTCTGCTGTAATATATGCCAAATCTAAAAGAAATTTTGCATTTCATACCCTTCTCGTCCTTTATCGTAAATACTATGAAGTAAACTCTGTAAATTTCTCTATGAATAGCATCAAACAAGTCTATTTTATTTTATACAGGCTAGGGTGTTGAACCATTTTGCATGAAGGGATTAAAGTAAAATTAAGAAAAAAAAGAAAAGAAAAATAATACATAAACCTTTAGGAATTAACAACTTTGAATGTCTTACGAAATTTGCTGCACCACATCGCCTGAGGATTCAAGTCCTCGTACTTAATAATATTCGTTATATTAGGTATCTAGAACAAAAAAGAGAACTGTAATATTCGATTTTGCGTTATGTCCGGATATAATGCACGTACACTATAGTTGCCAGTTTGTCGTAATTTTAATGACTTCCTTTTCATGTTACTGCTCTGCTGATTGGATTTAGAAACCAATATAGCTTCTGTAATCTTAGAGTTTTTCGGTTGATAATTTCTTTCATCACTACCCTTCTGTACAGACAATTCTTTCTTATATATAATATTGCTTAGATTAATGTCTTGCAATACAGGACTCGTTTGCGTAACAACTACTTGTGTGTCGTTGCTATCGGTACTTTCCACGCTTTGAGATCTATATGAATAAAAATGTGTTACCAATCGGAATGAAATATTCTATCCGTGGTTAACTGAATGGAAGGACTATCTGAAAGCAACTTCGTAGAAGTATCAGTAATAAATTAGTTATATCCATATTTGATGTACTAAATTTTGTCTACTAGTATTGGCAACTGGAAATGTTTCTGTACTACTACTCCACGATTATGTAAATTTTTTACGATTTGATGAGACATTGATGATAAATACAGATGTAACCTTATTGCGAACCATTGAGGATAGTAATCAATTAAGTAGTAAGTAAGGCCACCAAATGCGATTGTGAATAAGATCACCAAGAGAAGTCCAATTTTCCAACGACGCTCACGTTGGACCTAAAATTATTTTATGAAAATTATAATATACATTACTTATCCCAATTTCTCTAGTCTACAATACCTCATCCGTTTGATACTGCTGACCGGTCGTTACAAAATTTGTCGCGTTTGTCACCGTCCACATAATTCACATTTTCATATCGGTAACCTCGAAAACTATGTAATGATATAAATTACTTAATCAAGTATAAGTACTGAAATTGTCTTTCAAAGGAAATTACAATGCTCGTACCTTTTGTTTTTTTATAGTACCAAGTAACTACCAAGTGTGAATAGATTTGTAGAAATTAATGAATATTTTCAAAAAATTGTTTCCAAGAATGAAAACTGAACATTTTGATCTCTTGACATTTTTTCTGGCTAATTACGGTAACGTGGTCAATTCTATATTGTAGTGGTAATTCTTAATGTATCTATATAATAAGTAATATATGTAAAGGGAAAGATGGAGGGAGAAATAGAGAGAGATGGAGGGAGAGATGATGAGAGAGGGAACCAGGAGACTCAAAGGTGTTCCGTTGAGAGAAGCAAGTCGGCTGCTACGATAATAGGCCCGTGATCAAGTTCTGAGGAAGATTGTGGATACACGATCTGGCCAGTAGTTGCCAT